GCACCCCTGCACATTACCTGGTATCCATACTGACCTTTGAAGCAGGCTTCTAAAACTGCCCTCCCTAGCCATGCTAAGGATGCTGAGCATTAAGTTCAAAACAAGATGCAAGGCCTGGAATGACTCATGAGCAGACTTAACAGTTGTGGTTCCATTGCTCAGGCCCCAGGACAAAGCTGGGGGCAGGGGATGGACAGTTCCTTCTGTCTGTTTGGGTGCTGGGATATATGGCTGAGGCTAAGGTAATAGAAATGTCCTCTGATAAGAAGGGCCCTTCCCCCAGTGCCAGCAAAGTGAAAAGCAGTGGGCTCTCTGCAGACAGCTCGGTCCTCCCTGAGGAAGAGCCCCATGTCTGAGCTGCTCATACCAGCACATCTTCCTCCCCACCCATCATTTAGCAAGTCTGTCTAGCTTCCCGGGACAGCAGGGGTGAAGCCAAAGAGAGGCTCGGAGCTTGTCTGTAGGGGCCATGTACCACGCAGATGGGCTTAGAAGCACATCTTCCCTGGGGACCACATTTCCTTACTCTTTGCTCCTGGAAGTCTGCAGATCCTGCCCAAATCATGCAGATAGAGGGGCAGAGGCTAAGCCATTAGAGCCAGGCTGTGCCCTCTCTCTCCCGGTCTCCATGGCCTGGTCTTCAGGGCAGTGCCCGCTTCCTGCCTCATATCATGGGTTCTGTGTCCTGGGATATGGCAGGGCTCCATGGAGTCAAGAGCCCAGCTCCCCTGGCTATGGCCACTTGCAGGGATTTACATGGTGCCCCACTACACCCCAGACCATTGCTAGCTCACTTGGCCTGTTCCCTGCAGTGAATGGAGGAGAATGAAGATATGGCCTCTGGAGCTTTAGAGACGCCCCAGTCTTGGTTGGAGATTGGTACTTATGACTGTGCTACTCATCACCTCCCAGTGCTTTGAGCTCCACCTGCTCGCACATTGTGTAGGCATCCAGGTCTGTGTACTGTGCCTCCCCGCCATCTTTGGGATTTAGTACCAGTTGAGAGTCCATCAGCATTATCGAGAATGGTGCCATGGACTCACTGCTGAGGCCCTTGGGAATCCAGCAAGCCACACAGTGAACCCCAGTGAGTGCTGGAGGGGGGCTTCCTGGGATTGTGTCATAGGGGGGCTGATCTGTGGCTCTTAAAACGGCACTTGGGGTTTCAGCCTAGAGGTCACATCATTGGAGGTTTCCCCATGAAGACAAACATGCAGTGAGCTTCATCCTAACCCGACAGAATGGTCCCCACATGTTAAATCCTGTGCAGACCGTGGCTTAGCTCTTCCCAGGGCTGATTGTGTCTTCGACCACACAATACCCTAAACTCCAGGTAGACTATTTAAGAAGAAAGTGTTTTCTTTCCAAAACCTTCAAATATGTTAAAATGCCGTCGGTGGTTCTCTCTTCACAGTACAAGGCTTGCAGGAGAATTCCAATTCTCAGAAGCTGTAGGAGTGCAAGTGATGAGGACCTGCCTGCCTGCGGCTGCGCTGTTCTCTCTTCCCATCATGAGCTCACCTTATCCTGCACCCCAAACATGCTTCTGGGCTCTCTTCTGGTTGTCAGGGTGTGAGGTGTCTGGGAGACTCTGTCCTAATGGGGTGAACATTTGGCCAGTGGGACAATGACTATGAGATGGAGAATGAGGGGATGGGCAGGGAAGGGGAGTAGGCATGTGAGGTGGGAAGAGGTGAGTGTTTGTGCTCCGATGCCAGAAAGAACAGTCACACAGAAATCCTTAGTGCTGTTTCTACAGCCTCACCCCATCTTAGGGAGGTTTCTATTGCTGTGAAGAGACATCTTGCCTGGCAACTCTTATAAAGGAAAACATGTAATTGGGGCTTCCTTACAGTTTCAGAGGTTTAGTCCATTATCATCATTTGGGGAAGCAAGGCGTCATGCAGGCAGACATGGTGCTGGAGAGGTAACTGAGAGTTCTATATCTTGATCTGCAGATAGCAGGAAGTGAACTGTATTCCACACTGGGCGTAGCCTGAGCATATTAGACCTCAAAGTCCACCCCCACAGTAACACACCTCCTCCAACAAGGCCACACCTCCTAATAGTACCACTTTCTATAGGCCAAGCATTCAAACACGTGAGTCTATGGGGGCCATACTTATTCAATCTATCAAAACCCCGCTACCACAGCAGTGACCAAAGAAGGCAGAGAGAAAGCTGGCATGTGCTATTATTGCCCTGGAAGGCTTGGAATGGAGCGAATATGTCAGGGGACCTCAGAATATGCTTGAACATAGCTGTCTAGTCTAAGGAGAGAGTGTCAGAAACATGAGAAATTTAGCACAAGGCTAATCCATTCAAGCTACTTATAATTTTCTTGCATGGACAAAGGAGGCCTGTTCATCAAACCCTGGGACTATCAACAATGACCATAGCTCTCCAAACAGAACAAGCCTCCTGAAGTCACACAAGTGACACCAACATTATTTTGGATGAGCACAGGTGGCCCGTCCCATGAGGATGGAGAGAACACAGAGCGCCTCCCAGCCCAGCTGTACCTGCTTCCTGCTCTTCCACTCTTCCCTGGCATCTTGATGAAGCAGGGGTGAGGCCTGAAGAGTCCCACACCATCACAACACACACAGGGCACTGTTAGCAGGCCAAGAACCAATGGCTAGAGAGGTCATAGACCACTGGGGAGACCCTACCACCATTATTCTGCTAAGGAGACATCGTATTAAACCCACTTTTAATGACTTATTGCTTTACACATAGATTAGTGCATCCCTCAACCCTCATCAGAGAAGCTTCTTACTGTAGTAGATGGTTATTAACACTGAGAACCAAAACTGGTTGAAGTGCAGAGAGTTAAGAGGCAGTGGAGTTCTCAGCCCTAAATGAGACATCTGTGTCACACCCCATCCTCTCAAGGCTTGTGGATCATTGTGGGAGGGGGGTGGGAGACGGAAGATTGTAAGAGCCAGGGCGGTAGATGGTGCTGAGGAAACTCTGTTCCCAGATACAGCAGGGCAGTTCACTCATTTACCGCAGTTGAGACAGGACAAGACGTGCACAGACTCAAGTCAAACAAAACTCCCAGCCCGGAGAGGCGAGTGGACGTGAAGCCACTTCCCTTACTGAGGACATATTGGCAGTTGATAGGGACTGTTAGGGTCTTTTTTTTTTTTAAAAGGTGTGGCCTGTGGCAGGTTGACCATGCTCAAGGATAACCACAAATCCAAGACTATTTAGGCAACACAGATTAGACTCAATGAGCTTTTGCTCTGTTTTATTTTTAAGACATAATGTTGGGTGGATAGGGAAAGGGGGAGCGTGTGGGAGGAGCTTGGGGAAGGTGTGAATATGGCCAAAACACAACATATAAAATTTGAAGAAAAAAAAAACTGGTTTGAAACTGAGGAAAAATTAAAAAGAAAAGATTAACAAAACATAAATGTCACTGTACCATCTTTCTGGGATTTTAGTCTGTATTATCACATAACTTTCGTGAATGTTTTTAATAATTATGAGTTTTTTTCAGGGCTCATTAAATGTCCTTCCGCCACACCTCCTTTAACACCTGGGCCCCCCCCAGATATGATTCAGCCATATGAGTTTGCAGGAGTAAAACCTTGACATCTGGCAGTGGTTACTCTAAGTCAGTGGTCCTCAGCCTTCCTCATGCTGGGACCCTTTTACTACAGTTCCTCAGGCTGTGGTGACCTCCAACCATAAAATTATTTCATTTCTACTTCTTAAGTGTAATTTTGCTACTGTTATGAATCATAATGTAAATATCTGATATGCAGGATATATGTTACACAATCCCAAAGAGGTCGAGACCCACAGGTTGAGAACCACCTTTTAAGTTACTTTGACCGTACTTCAAATTCTGTCTACAAATTACTTTTTCTGTTTTATATAGACCTGTGTTTGAAACTTAGCACTTGTAGATTCCATGGAACACCCACAAATTAAATTTCTTCCGACTCCTTGGACCCCCTGATGTTGGGTGGGGCCATGTGACTGGTTCCAACCAACGAGCCTTGGGAGGAAGTGGTACCGGTATTTCCTGGCTAAAGCATGGGAGAGCTGGAGTGTGTCACTCTGATGGCTCTTGCTGCCCTAAGTTCCAGAAAATGACTCATGGTGAAGCCATAAGATGTTGGAGTCCCCCCTGAGCCCCACCCTGACTGTGTAGATAGAGCGGAGCCCTGCCAACCCCAATAAGCCAGAATTGGAAGAATGCGGCTCTAAGCCTCCAGATTCAGGGCCTTGTTTGTTGTGGTGGTGAGGCCTAATGCATGCTGACAGAATGGCATTGCTTCGAGGGAAGGCAATCCCAGAATGTCTTGTCTTTCGCATTCTCCTGAAAAATCTTCCGTCGGTACGCTTGCTTTGTGAGGTGCATGTCCTCCAGGAGAGCAGAATAAAGTGAGCTGTTTAAGATCCACGCCCCAGGAGCTCAGCTGTGGAAGGCACTGCTCACTATAGTTTTCGCAAATTATAAAACTCTGCCAGGGTTCGGCCAGGACTTTATGTGAGCGCTGGACGTGGCTCTCGGGGATCAGATTTCCTTAAAGTCACACAGATTAGAAGGCTGAAAAGCTTCAGTTGTCTTGCACTTTCCATAAGCATTATTTCAAGTTTTTATCTGTGGTTCAGATTTATTACCTTATTTTCAGAGTCCTGCCTCGGGTGAGGGTTTTGTTGATTTTTTTTCCCCTCTTGGTTTACTTTTATCCTTTTTATTTGATTGCAGGGCAGTGTTTTGTTTAAAGTGAATTCAACCTGAATTCTTTAAAGCCGCACAGGACATCTGCATCACGTCTATTTACTGACCAAGCTTGATTAAAGAGAACCTGGGAGGGAAGGTGGATTTTTGGATCAAGGCCTTGAAGTAGATGGCTGAACTCGCTTATAAAATTGACATTAAAACCATTTTGCATATTCATGGGGTCTGTCTTGGCAAAAGAATCGGCTATGGGATGTTAAGATGGAGTTTAGCTCTTAATTAAAAGCTTTTAATGGGCAGTTGGGACAGGGTTGGTTCTGACGTAGAGCATCAGCCCTGTTTTGTCAGAAAGTTTGTAGCAAACATTTGGATTCTGCAGGTAGTGCCTCAGCTCTGTCAGTTCCAAGGTCTGGTTTGATATTTCAGGCCCTGAGCTTTGCTAGAATTCTGGTAAAAGTCATCTCAGGCTTCCAAACTTAGGAATATTGTCTGTCTCAATAAGAAAAAGAATGCAAGGACATGTTTGTGGATCTAAGAGTCCCATAAATGACTTCCCAGGCCAAGTCCATTGGAGACAAAGAAACTGGAGGTATTCTAACACATGAAGTGTCTGTTCATGCTCTTCCAACATCCAGTCCCTCCTTGGGCATGTCCACACACTGCACCGTCCACGCTGCAGCTGGCTCCCGTGCTGGGGGATCCTTCTCCTAGCAGCAGATCTGTGGATGTCCCTGGAGTGAGTCCCAGAGGGGCAGAAAGAGGAGAGATGTGGAAGTCAGCCAAGAAGAGGCACTGGGTCTGACTGGTTGACTCAGATCCCTGTATTCACACTGACATCCTGGTGGTGAACTAGTCAGGACCATGTGAGTTTAAAATCCCTGCCTAACCCATGAACTCAGTAAATAACAACTAGAGTAAACTTGAGGTACAAGTTGCCCTTTTCAGAGAAGAAATGTGTGTGTGTGTGTGTGTGTGTGTGTGTGACGCACGTGCGTGTGCCATGCATATGTATGCAAGTCTATATGTGTGCATGTGTGAGTGTGTGTATGTAAATGTGTCTACATATGTGTGCACATATACGTGTGTGTGCATGCATGTGTGTTACACATGCCTTTACACATGGTGTTTTATATATATATGTGCATACATGCAACACACATTTATATATATATATTTATACATACATATACATGTTGCCAATAAACAAATTCTAGCAATCTAGGATTGGAAACATTTGCAAGTGATTTTGTCTGTCCTGAGCATGTATAGACCTTCCACTAAACCAGGCAGCATTAACAGCCACATACACAGCACTTACATCATAGTAGGGGTTCTATGCCGTCAAGAGATGATGTAAAGTCTATGGCATGCTCTGTTTTTTTCTTCAAGGCATAGAAACCTCTTTTTACAAGTCTACAGGAGGATGTGTGTATTCTGAAAACACTGTTCCATTTCTTGTGAGGGACTTAAGTGACCACAAATGTTGGTATTCTCTGGGGGTCCTGGGATACCTAGGGATGATTCTATGTGTCAAGCATGTGTGGTACCAAGGCATGAAAGTCCTATGGCTTATTCTTTCACGGACAACCTCTCCCTCTCAGTCCCTCCTTTCTGGGCCTAGAGCAGAATGCTATGCTTGTTTTGTGGCCAATGTTTGCTACTGAGTGATGGCTTTCAGAGAAAATTCTGCTGTCACTCAGACAGCTGTGGTCTGTTATATCACCTGGGAGGAATAGGTACCTAATATCCCAGAGGAGCCAGTGTATGTGACCTGGGGGCAGCACTCTTCCTCCGTGGGCTGGTGGCCTCATTTGTTAATAACTGCTCTGGAACTCATGGGTCTGGTACAGAACTCTTAACCTGCAGGGAGCACCAACCATGTGCCAGGTGTCTTCTCCTTGCCTGCTGGAAGGGTTGCATTGCCCACTTTATAAATGAGACAAGGAGTGCACAGGGAGACACACCAGCCTGTCCCTGAGGTACTTGGCCTGTAGGAGTAGAGAGAGGTTTACATGGCAGTGGCCCCAACTCAGCCTGTACCTCCACAGATGCCCCAGGGAGGGCGACCCCACACCTATGCATACCATCAAGTAAGATGCATGAAGGAAATACTGACGGAGATGCTGTAGGGGTGAAGTCAACCCTCAGTGCAGGTGGACATCCTGGGCAAAAGCCTATGTGGTCTCCTCATGGATCCAGGGAGGCAAGACCACCAAGGATATCATTTGCCGGGTCAGTAGGCTACCTGTCACTCTTGTGACCTTATCTGCAGTTTTTGAGGAATGATCACCCAGAAAGCCATACCCACAGAGCCAGGTAGGTGCTCCAGGATCTGACACTAAGGACATACAGTGTATTGCTTGCTGTTAGCAAGTACATGTTCTAGAAACCAGGACGTTCTGCATCCCATAGTCCATAATTGGTTCCCATGGAGGTGTTCTTCTCTAGAAATAGTATCAGAGATGTGTACATATGTGTAATCATGTCACTTTCTACTTATGAAAAGAAATCATTGTTTAGGAAAATACAGAACAAAAAAACACTTGGAAAGCAAAATAAATGTGTGAAACTTATTTCAACAGCTCACCACTTATGAATGTGGGGTTTTAATTCAGGAATATTAATTTAAAATTTTAGCAATTATGAACGTATTTCTGGACCTCTCTACTTCACACGAGTGGTCTGAGGTGGCAGGGCGTCTGCCCCGGGAAATCGTCGCAGAGTCCTTTCCCAATTCTCCTGACTCAGTGTCTCTGAGCACTGCACGAAGATTGCTGGATTACCTGCTTCCACCTCCCTGCTCTTTACCCCTCCACTCGGTTAATGGGGCTGTGCACTGACCCGCAGAACCTTACGTTAAAATGCGGACCCCTAACACCTGCTTGGTGAGAGCGCTATGTGCCTTCAGCCAAATGAAATGTGATGCCTGACATACAAAAAGGACCAACTGGTCCACTGCCAGGGTCTGGCTACATTCTCCTTTGCTCCCTGCATATAGAGACTATTCCAAGTCATCTCCCCTTCTCTGCTCCTCCCCTCCACCTCTTACAGTCCAGCCTTTGGTCCTCCTTTATCTTGTACTGCTGGCCCAGTCCTCTAACCCACCTTACCTCCTACAAGGATGCTCATTACCAGACCCTTCTCTCAGCTTGCTCTGTGAATTCCATCCTAGGCAGGAAGCATAAGCTGCAGAATTGGACCCCAGAGGCCCAGGTTTGAATCCTAGCACAGTAAGTTATCCAGCTTTCATATGGATGATTTTATTTCTCTCTCTTCTAAGGACCTGCTTTGGAAGCTGAGCTACTCCTGGGTCTGTGCGAGGTAATTAATGTGGCTTCCGTGACTACCCAATGGCCCTGTTGGGTCTGTGTCCCCAATCTTCTGGTCCATTGAGGGATCCCTCGTCATTGGGGTGCATCTCTTCTGACCTTAGGTCCACAATGCAGATCCCATATGTCTGCAGCACTCAGCCCTGTCTCCATGTTGTCACATAGGGTCCCACATGTCTCCGGCTCCTCCCCGAAGTGACACTGGCCCACCCCAGATCTGCACCCTCACCTGCTTGGCTGGACCTCATTTCTCCTTCCGGGCCCTTCTTGCCCTGTTCCCAGATAGTGCTGAGGCTTCTCAAGAACTTGCACTGCTTTGCTGGAACTGTTTGTGTTTGGACTGCATATTGACTGTACTTCATACCACAGTGCTGCAGTCCTGAGTGTGGCTTACATGACCACGTCGTTAGGACACTTATGGCATGTTTGCTGTCATGATTTGATGTACTGTCTGTCCCCAAAGTGAGCAGTGAGCTGGTTCAGGGCAGTCCCAGCTGCGGTCATTTCTGCATGCTGCATGCATGCATGCAGGCATCCTTCAGATTCCGTTGAGCTGGTGCTGTTGTAGGGGTGAGCAGGTGTTCTTTGGCTCCATCTGAATGCATTTGCTAACTTAACACCCCAACATTTGTGCTTACATGTCAGGCACCTTGCATGTGAAATAGTGTTCCCAGCCAAGACTTGAGTTCTGGCTGCCCATCTGTGTCCTGCATTCTCTCTGTCTCTGAGATGACAATGTTTGACTAGATGGTCCCTGAAGGAGCCCCTGTCACCACCAGACTGGGATGGGGCAGTTTTTCATTCTCCTTTGTCTCCCACGGGCTTTCCGTGGGAGCTGGTTCAGTGACATCTGAGGAAGTCATAAGTCACTGGTGAAATAGTTCCTGGATATGGAAGCCGTGGGGCTTGGAAAGGGGTCAACTCCTCTCTGGTGATCTGGCTCGTTGTGGCTCTGAGGCTGAGGAATGTCCCTTGCAGCCTCTCAGTGGCCTATGAGGAAGAAAAGTCAGGTGTCACTGAGCGGGAGACTGCCAGTAAAACGGGGATGTGGCAGCTCCCACCAGATGGACAAAGGGACAGGGTTACCTCCTGGGATGTGGGGTCATCAGTAGGTGGAGGGTAGAGAATGATCCTGCAGTGACGCTGGGTGAAGGCAAACCTCACCCTTCTCTGGTTGTTTTTGGACCATGCGTTTGGACCATTCCCAAAAGTCAGCCTGGAGTCCCTGAAGGAGAGGGCCAATGAGAAAGTGAGTGGAAATGAGAACAAGGAATGAGGGAGGGGGTCCCCTTTGTCATACATGACAAGCCCATGACGTACACATGTGTGAATCATGGTGCTAGAGAGAGGCAGAGGCAGGAAGACCATTCTGGCCATCTTTGCCCGCCTCCACCCTAGTCCTTTCCACAAATGGCTCACCTGTGTGGGTTCAAAAGTGCCAGGATATTGTCACCCAGAGATAGCCGGAGAACACAGAGGCTTCGCCCTCATGGGTGCACTGGGGTCACCCTTCCCAAGCCCACCCCAGCTGCAGCAGAATCAGAGCAGCAGGTCTCAAAGCAGCACATACAGTTCTGAGCCCCACCCTGAACCTGGGAGGGCTGTGGAGAACACCATCCCCCTCTGGGATTCTGGGAACTTCACGCAGGCAGGAGGAGATGGAATATCATCCACGGGACATTACAGGGAGGTAGAGAAGCCTGATGTCCTGGTGAGTTAAAGGACCCCTTCTGCTACCAGGACAGCTCCCCATCCCTGCTCTGGCTTCCTTTGTAGAGCCCAGTGGCTAGCGTCACAGCCTCCTCATTGTCTGATGAGATACACAGCCAAGCTCTGGCCCAGCTCTCTAGAAACAGGGTCCAGAAGCCCACAAAGGAGACCACACAGTCACTGCTTCAGGTAGGCGAGCGCTACAATAGGCCTTTGAAGGGTAGGACCCTCCTGTGAGGGGCCCGGGCACAGCCACCCAGAGGAAACTGTAAAAACAAATGAATCCCAGAAGGCCCATTGCTTTGCAATTTTCATTTGCCTCAGAGAAAGAACAGCCTGTCTCTGTCCCTCCTCCACGGCCCCACTGACATCCTTCATCCCATAGAAGTGCCCCCCACCCCCATCTTCAGACTCCTCAGGAAGGTCTTGTTCAGCCACTGTTCCATTTCAGAAGCTCGTTCAGTCTGCTGGTGGGCCAGGTTTTTGAGGCCAGTCTTACGGCTCTGTGCTTTGCCTGTATGACCTTGCCACCACCCAAGTCACCCAGAGGGTGCTCAGAGACATGAGTGGGCAGACATATTGTCTGGGAGGGAGAGGCCCAACTGTTACTCACCCAACATTTATCCTGTAGGTCTCCACTGGCCACTCCCACCCAGCACCTAGCACCTAGCACCCAGTTTCTAGTACCCAGCACCCAGGAAGGGGGCTGGATCGTTACTCCTAACTTGCCAGAGCCCTAGGACTCCAGGTTAACCTGGCTTGTGACTCTGGCGAGGCGGCCTCTTTGTCTACAGTTCTGCATTATCTCTGACCTGACCTGCCTTACTCTGAGCCGAGCTGGCTGCGAGGATCTGGAATGGAAGAAGATTCTGCCTTCAGAAGCAAAACATGCTGCTTCCTCCCTGGCTGTGCACATGCGTTTGTCAAAAAGACAGCTTCCTGGGGGAGGCAGCGTCAGGGGTGAGTGTGTGTGGAGCTCGGGGCTGGCAGCAGGCCTGAGGCTGCCCAGAGCTGGTCCCCCTCAGAGGCCCAGCACTCTCCTTGAAGCTCCTACCGGTGGGAAATGAAGCCTTGCAGCTAAGTGAGGTGACTCGGTGCTTATCTCCAACATCTTGGTGCATGCATTTTCAGATGGGTGACCACTGAGGGTGGCCAGCGGTGTCCACTGCATGGTCCACATGAGGCTGTCCCGAGAAACCCATGGCCTATACGTCTAGGATCCTTGAGACTGGCTGGCACAACCTCAGGATGGGGGGCCACAGAGGGGCCAGACCCAGATATACCCCCACTCTTACTTCGGCCACTACTCTAGCCTTCTGTGTGATGTGGGCTGTCTCAGGCTAACTGTGTGAAGTGGGCTGTCTCAGGCTAACCTGTGTGATGTGGGCTGTCTCAGTCTAACTGTGTGACATGGGCT